AAGTGCACGAGCTTCAAACTTCAGCGTTGGCTACCATTTTGAAGCTGAAATCGCGTTCGGTGTGAACGCACCATTACCGTGACTGAGCCGTGTTGTAACAGGCTGATGTCATGACTGATGTGTGTTTTTAATGTTTTTTTGACTCAGACGTTCCCATCCACCAGGACAACTGAAAACAGCATTTTGCAGTAAACTGAACTCGCTCTCCCCGGCTCACCCATGACATCATCGTCCCCTTCCTCCTCACAGATGACCATCCGCTCGTCGTCGCTGGTGGCGTCCTCGCTGGCTCCGCCCCGGCACAGCGACTGAGGCGGCGGTCTGTTTCGAAACAAGCCCGTCCCGTCCTCCTGAAGGAGAAGAGATGTTTGTAGAATCATTTTGTTCTGACGTTAAAACGTGTGTGAAGTTAGACGCTGTGCACCCCCTCAGAACCTTCTTCTCTTTAGCTAACAGCTTCAGCCTCACACACAGAGCCGAGCTCATTGATCTCCATGAACAGCTGACTTCAATCAAACGGCTCCGAGGTGTGCAGGATGTCAACGATCGGTCCGGTTAGAACCGTTTCTGCTGCTTTTTGTTCTCCAGGCTTTTCTGACCCAGGCTCTCAAGTTTGTTACATTAAACCAACTAAAAGCACTGAAAGCATCATATCATAAAAATCTCTTTAAAATTATTAAATTGCTTTATTATTTAACTACATCTTTGCCATTTTTAGCTTCTAGCTACTATTAGCTTTTTACTAGCCTTTTGCTACTTGTATCTTTTAAATGAATTTTTGATTTTATCTTTTAGTTAGTCTTTGATAGTTCAGCTAGCTTTTAGCTACTTTTAACTTTTAGTTACTCTTTGATAGTGTAGCTAGCTTTTTGCTACTTTTATCTTTTAGTCTTTGATAGTTTAGCTAGCTTTTTGCTACTTTTATCTTTTAGTTCGCCTTTGATAGTGTAGCTAGCTTTTTGCTACTTTTATCTTTTAGCCTTTGATAGTTTAGCTAGCTTTTTGCTACTTTTATCTTTTAGTCTTTGATAGTTTAGCTAGCTTTTAGCTACTTTTATCTTTTAGTTAGCCTTTGATAGTGTAGCTAGCTTTTTGCTACTTTAATCTTTTAGTTAGTCTTTGATAGTTTAACTAGCTTTTAGCTAATTTTATCTTTTAGTTAGCCTTTGATAGTTTAGCTAGCTTTTAGCTACTTTTATTTTTTGGTTAGTCTTTGATAGTTTAGCTAGCTTTTAGCTACTTTTATATTTTAGTTAGCCTTTGGTAGTTTAGCTAGCTTTTAGCTACTTTTATTTTTTAGTTAGTCTTTGATAGTTTAGCTAGCTTTTAGCTACTTTTATATTTTAGTTAGCCTTTGATAGTTTAGCTAGCTTTTAGCTAATTTTATCTTTTAGTTAGCCTTTGATAGTTTAGCTAGCTTTTTGCTACTTTTATCTTTTAGTTAGCCTTTGGTAGTTTAGCTAGCTTTTTGCTACTTTTATCTTTTAGCCTTTGGTAGTTTAGCTAGCTTTTTGCTACTTTTATCTTTTAGCCTTTGATAGTGTAGCTAGCTTTTTGCTACTTTTATCTTTTAGCCTTTGATAGTGTAGCTAGCTTTTTGCTACTTTTATCTTTTATCTACCACCTCGTACCT